GGAAAATATTTAGTATGCGGTAGATAAACTACCACAATTTAAAACCAGTACAAACACTAGTAACTACGGTTTTGTAGAAAAACATGGTTAAATTAATAAAACACTTTTACATTAATATGTTGTTGATACATGACCAATTAATGTTCGGTTAAGAGAAACGATATTCGTGCGATATTCAGTCAAAACCAAGAACAGAATTAGAACCGTCGCGTGTGGCTCCACACCACACAACTGTTATTTACATTTATATATATACACCACACACACACACACACACACACACACACACAAAAAGACAAAAAAGAGCAAAAGTTTCCAGCTCAAGACAGCACACCACATAAAACATCACAACACAAATGCTCATGTAACTCAGTATCTTCTCGAGCGTTCTATTGTAGTGTTACATATTCAATATATGTATCTTTCTACGTTACTCACGCCAGTCAAGTTCTGCAGTTCGCGGGTTCTGGAGGATCATGGGAGCGCGTCAGCTGCGTCACGCTCACGTCTTTCAAGATGGCGGCGCTCGCGTCCTTGATGCTGCAATCCAGAGCCTGTAAGTAGAATGACAATTTGTATGACTTTTTCGGATTGTATGATGAACAGTGCAAGTAAAACAAGAATAATATGAAATAATTGAGCCCTTTCCGCGTTTTGTGATGACTGTGAGATGGTAGTAGCGTGCTGTGCCACCATTCCCTGACAGCACAGTGAGCATGTGTTAAATGTTGACAGCAGCATCGACAGCATTTAAACTGTGACAAGCGGACTGATTTGGCTTACATTTTGTAAATGGTAATGCAGATCGTTAAGGATCATGTTAATTTAATGCCCAGCAAACAGTTATATCAAACTGATGCCTATGATGTGAAGGACAGTTTAAACATCATCTAGTAGTAATAGTATGTTGCCTGTGTTATGGATCAACTGGGGATGTGCGCGTGCATGTGAGCTATTTTACATCCCATTCCAGCAGATTCGTCAAGAGCGACTGTAAAGCTGTAATGAAGACGTTGGTACATTCTTAATGTTCTTAATAAATGTTGATGCAATTATTACGCTGTGTTGTTTCTTCAATACCTGTTTTAATGCATGCGACACAGTTTAAGTGTCATTTTAACACGAGTTCACGTGGTGAGACAAACCACGCCAACGTTATCTTGGCACATTCACTTCTATGGAAAATGACAATCACTCAAATAAACGTATATTTCAAGTGTAATTCACTTTTATTTACACTATTTAAAAATAGCAGTATGTTTGCATTAAATGTAGATAGATGCTATTTATATTTAGTGGAAATAATGGCAGATACTCTATAGGCTACATTATAAAAAAAAAAATGCAATAGTTAAAATGAAAATATTTATTAAAGTTATCAAATGGATTCTGCCTTATGGGACAATTAGTCCTCTCTACACCTACCCCAACCCAAATACTTATCAAATAGCTATTTTGGTGCTTTATTTCCACCTTTCCCACGAATGTTTTGTTAATTTTATTGAAAGTAAATAAATAAAGCATTTTGGATCAGCTATATGATGGGGAAAAATAAGATGAACAAAGATGGTTAAAGCTTGGATTCGAACTCGGATCAACCGTATCCAAAGTTGCTGTTGAGCATTAAGTCCCTACGCCACTGACGTGGAGGAGAGCTATGTGATTTTGACTGACCCAACCAGGCATTGGTGGGTGGAATGAGTGTAAATAAAGCAAATTGCTCTATTGATGTGGATGTATGTGGTCATATTGTTGACTCAAATATTTTAATAAATAATACATTACTCAGATTCAAAATGTTTTTTGTTTTTATTTCTTGGTTACTCAGACGGTGCCTTGTTAACAATGTTAAATAAACAATTGAAATATAATATATAAATTGTTGCTATTTATTTATATATTTAATGTACCATAGACATCCAGTCAAAATCACATAGCTCTCGTCCACGTCGGTGGCGTAGGGACTTAATGCTCAACAGCAACTTTGGATACGGTTGATCCGAGTTCGAATCCAGCTTTAACCAACTTCGTTCATCTTATTTTTCCCCATCATATAGCTGATCCAAAATGCGTTTATTTTCAGTAAAATGAATAAAACATTTGCAGGAAAGGTGAAAATAAAGCACCGAAATAGCTATTTGATTTTAATTTAATTTAATTGTCCCATAAGGCAGCATCCATTTGATAACTTTAATAAATATTTTCATTTTAACTATTGCATACTTTTTTTATATAATGTAGCCTATAGAGTATCTGCCATTATTTCCACTAAGTATAAATAGCATCTATCTACACTTAATGCAAATATACTGCTATTTTTAAATAGTGTAAATAAAATCTATCGCTATTTGCACTTAGTGTAAATAACAGACTGCTAAATAACGCTATTTTTACTCCGTGTATATAGAAGTGAATTACACTTGAAAATATACGTTTATTTGAGTGATTGTCATTTTCCATAGAAGTGAATGTGCCAAGATAACGTGGGCGTGGTTTGTGAACCATGTAATCACGTGAAATCATGTTAAAATGACTCTTAAACTGTGTCGCGCTATTTGATAAGTATTTGGGTTGGGGTAGGTGTAGAGAGGACTAATTGTCCCATAAGGCAGCATCCATTTGATAACTTTAATAAATATTTTCATTTTAACTATTGCTTTTTTTTTTTTATAATGTAGCCTATAGAGTATCTGCCATTATTTCCACTAAATATAAATAGCATCTATCTACATTTAATGCAAACATACTGCTATTTTTAAATAGTGTAAATAAAAGTGAATTACACTTGAAATATACGTTTATTTGAGTGATTGTCATTTTCCATAGAAGTGAATGTGCCAAGATAACGTGGGCGTGGTTTGTGTCACCACGTGAAATCATGTGAAAATTACACTTAAACTGTGTCGCATGCATTAAAACAGGTATTGAGGAAACAACACAGCATAATAATTGCATCAACATTTATTAAGAACATTAAGAATCTACCAACGTCTTTTCATTACAGCTTTGCAGTCGCTCTTGACGAATCTGCTGGAATGGGGCGTAAAATACAGTGGTGTGAAAAAGTGTTGGCCCCCTTCCTGATTCCTTATTTTTTTGCATGTTTGTCACACTTTAATGTTTCAGATCATCAAACAAATTTAAATATTAGTCAAAGATAACACAAGTAAACACAAGGAAGGGGGCCAACACTTTTTCACACCACTGTAGCTCACATGCACGCGCACATCCCCAGTTAACACGATCCCCAGTTGATCCATAACACAGGCAATGATTTCTGTGTTCCTCTGGTCTTTGCAGGTATTCTGTTCAGTCAAACACCCACAGTTGTACTGACGAGATTTGCTTCAAAGAAATCAGGAGGAAGCAGCAAAAACCTAGGAGGGAAGAGTGCTGGCCGTAGATATGGTTACAAGAAACAAGATGGTGCGTTTTTGACTACTGACCTTGATCTCATAGGAGAAACATTTAGAGATTTTATGTGCTCTTACTGTGACTAGTCTTTTTTATCCTCCCATTACCTTGCATTATAACACATGTTTTGTTTTTCCTACTTTTAAGGGAACTTTGTACATGCGGGCAACATCCTTGCTACACAACGCAAGGGTTTAATGCGCTGGCAACCTGGAGCTCATGTAAGATGTTTGGAATCAAATATTTTTCTATGAGTAGTTGTATATAGCTATAGCTGTGCCTGGCTGGGGCAAGTGTTTTTATCTTGTGTTTTATGTTTACATTTTTTTTTTTTTTTTTTTTATTTATTAATTACAATATCTGGTCACCAAAACCGTACTTTGATATTTTTGTACAATACCTAGGCCTGTCGCAATAATCAATATATCGACTTATCGCGCAATATATGTACATGACCTCAATAATTTTTGGTGACGCAATATATCGCCCATTATATTTACTTAAAAATGAAAGTCACCATGTTTTGTACATTCCACTTGCGACTGTGTCTTTTGCAGCTTCTCGTACATAACGTGTTGTAGTCATGAGGTGCTAGTTCAAATTTAAAAAATGCTTCTACAAAAAAAGTTTCATCTGCAGATATGGCCTTGTTTAGGGATCTGACGGACATCTGACCGCTGAGTAGTGATTGTGTTTTTCAACAATAGTGTGCACCCTTAATTTACAGAGAAAAGAAGATCAGGGAAAAATCTGTAGATGGAAAAATCTCCATGTGTTATCGTGACAGGCCTAACAATACCAATTTTTATGAATTATTTTATGCTTCAAAATTGTTTTCGTTTTTTAATCTTTGCTGAAATATCTAAATATGTAGTCCTATCTGTTTTCACAAGCATACAATTTCAGAACAAAAGTTTGAAAAGTGTTCCACAGTTTGTAATGGAAGTTGCTTTGATTCATATATATGTTCAAAAGTTTGGGATCAGTAAGATTTTTAATGTTTTTTTAAAGAAGATTCTTATGCTTATCAAGGCTGTATCTATTTGATAAAAAATACAGAAACAAAAACTAATTTTGTTAAATATTATTGCAATTAAAAAATAACAGTTTTCTATTTTAATATACATTAAAATATAATTTATTCCTGTGAAGCAAAGCTGAATTTTCACCAGCATTACTCTAGTCTTCAGTGTCACATGATCCTTCAGAATCATTCTAATGATTTATAATCAATGTTGGAAACAGTTGTGCTGCTTAATATTTTTGGGACCTATGATGCTTTTTTCAGGATTCTTTGATAAATAAAAAGTAAAATAAAGAAGAGTGTTTATTCAAAATAGAAATGTTGTGTTATATACACTACTATTCAAAAGTTTGGGGTCAGTCAAATTTTTTTTTTAATAAATACTTTTATTCAGCAAGGAATGCGCTAAATTGATAAAAAAGTGATTGTAAAGACTTAAATATTATATATATATATATATATATATATATATATACATATATATTATATGTA